CATCAAAACATAAGCCATGAAATAAGATTTGCAACAAGTACTATATTTTATTTTTATAGTTGTTATAAATTTTTTCTCCAAATAATCTCAAATTATTTGAAATTGTTCAAAGCGTACACTTTGGATATTGAAAGTGCCAAAATTAAGTTTTTAATATTAAGATGCGGAGTAAAAAATATAACCCATACAAACTCAAAATTAGGCTCAGAGCCATGTAGAAAGACGACATTGGTCTCATCGTTTGTCTAGCCAAATAGTTATAGCCCTCGTTTGTCTCTTCATAGATACAATAAATTTGGAACGATGCATAAGATTTGCAAGTCATTTGCGCAAGAATGACATGCATAAATTGAGAAATGGCCTAAATTTTTAAGATCTCTTTAGATCTTTAAGAAAAAAGTTATAGCCCTCTTGAGCATGTGAAGATGCATTTATTTTTTTTTATAGATATTTAGATGTAAACATATAAATAGTCATTTAAGAGAAATGTGTGAGGCATTTAAACTTTTAAATAGTGACATTCAACATCACTTGAAATCTTATTTAAATTTTTTCATGTTCAAATATTATTTTAATTAGAGTATAATTATAGTAGAAAATTCAAGAAAAGTGACTTTATAAAATATATCCAGTTGATGATTATAAATTCTGAAAATTACTTATGAGTATTAAATTCATTAAAATTAAGAGAAATTTTGTATAGAGGCTCCTCTTGATATGAAGTTCCTTTATAAAATTTCTTAAAACTTTAACCATTTTTTCCTTATGAAAAATTCTTTAGTTGATATTAGTCAAGTCAATAATTCCTAAACCACATTATTATTGAATAAAATCATTGAGACGTCAAAAGAGTAAGGCTTCGTTTGGGACAGATCTGTTGGGAATTTTTTTTTGGAACATTTCAAAAATTTATTTTTGTGAAAGCCCTTCATAGTTTTTTTCTTGTTACACTATAATATTCTCCATTTTGTAATCCTCTTTTTTTTATTAATGAATAGGCTATTGCCCTAATTTTTCCCCAAAAAAATTCTTCCCCTGTAAACATGATGAAATATGTTAGATATGGGATCGCGACTGCAGCTCGCTGGTTGAGCGAAGCCTTTCCTCCCACATGACTCACGTTCAAATCCTCTAATTTCCCCTAATTGCGGCTTATGGAGTTTTTTAAAGACGGACCATGGCGGTTAATTTAAATAAGAATAGTTGCAGAATATTAAAAAAATGTTAAAAGAAGCTAACTACCCATACATAATGATGTATTCTAAAGAATGCACTAAATAATTTTAAAATTTTGTTTCATTCACCCCAGTCAACAACAACAACAACAAGCCTTAATCTCAGTACGTGGCGTCGGCTACATGAATCCTTTTTCTCCATTGTATCCTATTAAAAGTCAAATTCTCGTTTAAATCTAATAAAGAAAGGTCATTCCTAATATTTTCTAACCAAGTCTTTTTAGGTCTACCCCTACCTTTCTTAACATAAGTCAAATCTAATACCTCTACTCTCCTAACCGGATCATCGGAAGGCCGCCTTTTTATATGACCAAACCATCTAAAACGACTCTATCTAATCTTATCTTCTACTGGAGCTACTCCTAATCGGGTGCATTCACCCTAGTCAACCGAACTAAATTCTTTAAAAACATCAAATCATTTTGTGTTTTCATCAAACTAAATTCTAAAAATACTGCAGCAATCTGCCAAACTGTTTGAGTTATTCTAAATACGCCAAATAATTTAGTGCATTCAATGAACGAGTCATTCTATTTGATTTTTTTTTTTAATTCTCTACTTTTTTTTTTGGGAAATTTTATTAATTCTCTACTATCAACCGAACTAAATTCTTTAAAAACATCAAATCATTTTGTGTTTTCATCAAACTAAATTCTAAAAATACTAAATTATTTGAGTTATTATAAATATGTCAAAAAAATTTAGTGCATTCAATGAACGAGTCATTCTATTTGACTTTTTTTTGTAATGCTCTACTTCTATTTCTAATTTAAATTAAACATCATGCTTATTTAAAAAAAAAAATCATACGATTAAATAAGGGGGGAGAAAAAGGTGAAGAGCATGATTGGATATCAGGGCGCTTACATGATCATCACAAGCATCATTAACTGCTTGGCGCAGCGCATTGAATATGATGAATGAGGAGACATTCATGATGGCGATGCCCATTGCCCGCTCACATAACATTTATGCCATCGACTTCCGTCTTCATTGCAATCATGTCGAGCACCCATTTCATAGTAATTTAAATATTCATATTTTAATTTTAGTCATAAACTCATTATACACCTTTGATTTGAGATGAACGGGGCAATTTCGCCATTTGGACATGAATAAATTTCATTATGCAGGGATGTCAAAACAGATCAACGGATCTGATTCGAATTTCGGATCCAACTCAAATTGATCCGGATATAAATGGATTGATCCTAATCCGACCTGATTTTACAAACGGGTTAAGGTTTCGGGTTTGAGTCGGGTCAAATATTCACACCCCTAAAATTTTGCATATGAATATTTGGACAAAATACTAATTTGAATGGATTTTAAATTTTATTTTTTAAAAAAATATTGCTATGATCATCACGCTTCTTGAAGTGATTTTTGAAATATAATTTTTAAAATTAAAATAATGATTATCTAAACTCTAAATTTGACATGGTTATAGACTATAGTCGAATGAAGTGGCTCAGCAAGAGGAATCCAATAAGTCAATTTTGAGATCATTAATATGTTTAAATGATAAAAAAATGCTTTTTGATCAAGAGAATCAATATTGACCATATGATGGAGTGTTTAAAATTCTAGTTCAAATTACCAAAATGCTCATACAAAAAAACTTATAAAAGAGACTCATTATTTTTCATATGAGGAGAGAAGAAAGGAGAAAACTAGAGAGCTCTCTTGTATTTTCTAACTATCGCAGTCGACAATCACCGCCACCTATTTCCCCTAACAATTACCATCATGCCTGATGATCACCGCTAGTAAACACCACAATCTCCAAAATTTTGATAAGATTTAAACATGATGTTGGGTATAACTGTCAGCATGTGGATGATGAAATTAAGCCCTGTTGTTGGGAGTTAATTATCAATCAAAGAATACTTAATTTTTATTAACTCCCATTGCATAAATCAAGCATCTTAACTCCCTTCTTCAATTGTGGTTAAGAAAATATTAATATATCTTCAGATATATAGTGAATTTTTCATCAAAGCTTGGACCTTTAGTTTTTCCCTTTTTCAACACTACAGAAAAATCACGTATTACCGGCGGATTTTTCCAGCAGAAAATCATCATTTTTAGGCGGATTTCCGGCGAAAATATTTTAACCAGTAAAACAAGCGCCTGAAAAAAAAATCTGGAAAAAACAAAATGCCTAAAAATT